CAAACCTCTGTCCCAGAGCAGGGAAATCGTAGTCTGCTCTTCACTGACCTCTCCAGGACACACAGTCTCCATTTCTCTCTGTGCTGCTAAAACCCACAGCCTACACAGTGTTGCACCCCACAGCAACTATCCCAGAGGTCGATCCCAAGACTGGATGTGGCTCTGCCCATTGTGCTTCTAAAACCATGAACAACCCCCAGTTCATGCACAGGGACCCACAGCTCCTGGATCCTGTCTGGGGGCTGCACTAAAGTTTTTCCCTGCTGCTATCGGTCTGTGAGTCTGTGTCTGGTCCCAGCATTGGCTGCTTTTGTGCCAGTGTTATATCACCTTCCCAGTGCCAGCTTATGGCAGTTCCTTTCCCCTTCTGTTTATTTTTCTATATCTGCCCATAGAATAATGGCTCAGCCCTTCATAACTCGAGACTGCTGGGAATTTTCTTCTTGTCGAGATCCAGATATATATTCTTACAATTCAGTCTGATTTCATGGGTGTTCAGAATGGTTTGGTAGCTACCCAGCTAAATTCAGGGGACTAGTTGAAATAGGGTCCCCTACTTCTCTGCCATCCTGCCTCTCCCCCCACCAAGTAGCATAGAAATTTTAAAAATATTTGTTCTTCCAATCCATAAGCATGGGATGTTTCTCCATTTCTTTCTTTCTTCTTCAATTTCAGTTATATGTGTTCTGTAGTTTTTAGAGTTCGGATCTTTTATCGCTTTGTTTATGTTTATTCCTGGGTATCTTATGGGTTTCGGTGCAATTCTAAATAAGATCGATTCCTTACTTTCTCTTTCTTCTGTCTTGTTGTTAGTGTATAGAAATGCAACTGACTTCTGTGCTCTGATTTACATCCTGCTACTTTGTTGAATTCCTACATGATTTCTAGCAATTTTGGGGTGGGATATTTTGGGTTTTCAATATGGAGGACCATGTCATCTGTGAAGAGTGAAATTTTGACTTCTTCCTTGCCAGTTTAGATTCCTTTTAATTCTTTTTGTTGCCTGATTTCTAAGGGGGAACTTCTAGCAATATGTTGATTAACTGTGGTGAGACTGGACATCCCTGTCATGTTCCTTCCCTTACGGGAAATGCTCTCATTTTTTTCCCCTTTGAGGAAAATATTCTCCGTGTGTTTTTTGTATATGGATATTATGATACTGAGGAATGTTCGCTCCAGACCTGCACTGCAGAGAGTTTTAATCAAGAAAGTATACTGCATTTTGTCAAATATTTTTATTGCATTTCTTTAAAAGATTATTTGCTTCTCGTCCTTTCTTATGTTAATGTAGTGTATCACATTGATTGATTTGTGTATTTTGAGCTACACTTGCAGCCCTGGATTAATTTGTACTAGGTTGGTGGGAATAATACTTTTAATATACTGTTGGATCTTATTAGCTAGTATCATTGTAAGAATTTTGGGATCCATGTTCATCAGGGATGTTAGTCTTTAATTCTCCTTTAGGTTGGGTCTTTGGTTTTTGGTTCAAGTTATTGCTGGCCTCATAGAATGAATTTGGAAGTTTTCCTTAGGTTTCTATTTTTTGAAAAAGCTTAGTACAATATATATTATTTTTTTAAATGTTTGATAGGATTCTCCTGCGAGGCAAACTAGTCCTGGGCTCTTGTTTGTTGGGAGATTTTAATTACTCCTTTAATTTCTTTGTTCGTTAAGCATCTTTTCAGTGTTTC